TGCCACAGATGCTTGTAGTACGGCTCTTCTGACAGGGGATCGAGATGTTAAGAAAGGAACAAGAAACAGTTTGTTAGGAGTCTTGCAGAGGAGGTAGAAGGCCATTTCTTAGTAAATGACCTTCGTCCTGCATACCAAGCCCTGAGAAAGCTGAACTCCAAGCCCTCTTAACAGGTGACAGCAGTTCGCTTAGTAGGTGGTCAGATCGTCTTAAATCCTGTTACGGTGCGAGAGCGCTGGGGTGAGCATTTTGAGCAGTTGCACCATGTTGACCCACCAACAGTTAACTTGGATGCGGGTAGTGCCGAGATTCCGTTGCCGGACCCACCTATCAGTAAGGACACTCCCTCCCTAATTGAAGTTAGGGGAGCGATCTCTAAGCTGAAGAGTGGTAAAGCAGCTGGTATATGCGGCATCCCAGCTGAACTGTTAAAGGCTGGTGGTGAACCCATGGTACGGGGGTTGCATGCTGTCCTGGCTGCCATCTGGCGGTCTAGTACCATTCCCCTGAACCGTTGAGGGGTGTGGTCATCCCTCTCTGGAAGGGGAACTGGGGCAGATGGGACTGCAGCAACTATCGACGCATCACACACTGCTCAGTATACCAAACAAGGTTCTTGCCCACATCCTTCTGAGATGTATCAGAGCCCGGAGCAATCTGGATTCACTCCTGATAAGCCTATATCAACCTTAAGGCGTTCGATACGGTGGATCGGGAATCACTCTGGGAGATCTTGAGACAGAGGAATTCCAAGGATTATTGGACTAGTACCAAGTCTGTATACTAGTACTGAAAGTGCTGTAAAGTGTGGGGGGGCCTGTCGAGCTTCTTTCCTGGTAATTCAGGAGTGAGGCGAGGCTGTGTCCTTGCACCAACACTTTTCAACACTTGCATGGACTGAATACTAGGCAAAGCTACTGTTCAAAGTCATTGTGGAGCAACTCTGGGCAATATCAAAGTTACTGATCTTGACTTTGTTGATGATGCTATTCTATTTGAGTCTTTGGAAACCTTAGTGATGGCTCTTGATGAGTTTAGTAATGAAACGAAGCCCTTGGGTCTAGAGGTCTCCTGGACCAAGACCAAGATCCAGGACTTTGGGGACTTGCTAGGAGAACCTGTTCAATTGGTACATGCTTGCGGCGAGGACATTGAAGTCACAGAGAGCTTTACATACCTTGATAGTGTAGTTCATAACTCTGGGCTGTCAGACCAGGAAGTCAGCAGACGGATTTGCCTGGCAGCAGGGCTCATGAACTCTCTCGGCAATAGTTGGAGATACCGCTACATGTGCAGAAGGACCAAGCTACGCGTCTTCAAGGCCCTGATAATGACATCGGTTTTGCTCTACGGTAGTGAAACCTGGACATTATCCATTGCCTTGGAGTCACATCCTGATGCCTTTTGGTCCTTGCGCCAGATCATGGTGTACTGTTGGCGGGACCACGTGTCAAACCAACGGTTGCACCGTGAGACTGGCATAGCATTAATGTATACGTATATGTATTTAGGTGCACATGTGCATACACATATATCCGGCTCCTTTCTCTTTCTCTTCCTGTTTTTTCCGACATATTTAGGGTTTCTTGATTGTTTCTTCTTCCCGCAGGGAGCTGCAGCACAAAAAAGACAACAATACAAAAGTTTCGTGCTTTCCTATCTGAAACGACAACGAGGTCCCCAAAGGAGGGACCAAATTCTAAGAGATATCAAAGACCAGGAGAAACTCACCAAAGATGAACGCAACTCTCTTGATCAAGTAAGTTTACGAAGTAGCCTGTACGCATGCACTCGTATTCTCTCTCTCTCTCTCTTTCTTTCTTATTTCATTCTCTCTCTCTCTCTCTCTCTCTCTCTCTCTCTCTCTCTCTCTCTCTCTCTCTCTCTCTCTCTCTCTCTCTCTCTCTCTCTCTCTCTCTCTCTCTCTCTCTCTCTCTCTCTCTCTCTCTCTCTCTCTGATATTTTCATACCTTGAAGAGAGGAGTGGACCTCAGTTATGAAATAAGATATTGAAAGTGTATATATGTGTATATATATATACATATACTTATACATCTATATATGCATGTACTCACACACATACACACACACACTAAAATTACGTTACTTGAAGCATCAAGATAAGAAAAAGAAACACGTTAAGTTACTAAAAAATATATATATATATATCAAATTGGACACATAGGGAACAGGTTAAAAGCAAAACTAGAAAGAGCGAATCCAGAAGGAATTCATGTAAGAATAAGTTAAATAAAACACGAAAACAATAAAACACACAAAGAACACAAATAAATATGACAACGTCCAGGAAGTAACCTAGGCAAGTAACGGGAAGTATGTTAAATACAACCTTTGTTCTGCTGACGTCTCAGGCTGAAGTAAATCCAGAAGGGGTGACACAGACACAGGTTCAGATAAATCTCTCTTTATTGTTATGGCGGATCCGTATTTATACCGACGTCTTGCTGACGTTACTGCCTTCATTTTCAGTAATTTCTT